TACGCAGTGCGACTTGAAACTCTGCAAATGTCATTTGTTTGTCTCGTTGGACAACTATCGCCGAGAATGTCTTAATAAAGTTACTTGGTAATCCTTTTAGCACCATCGCGATCAATAACGCGTCGCTTACAGCTTCATCTGCGTTTCTCAATGCTGTCGCAGCCGTTTTAGCCCGTATGACACAATCAACGATACTCTCACTGTCCGTTTTCTTGAGCGTCGTCAGTTCTGTGTATAGTGAGATAACTCGAGGCTTGCTCTTTCCTTGGTAGTGCTGTCGCAATATCTCCAATGCTCTCTGCCCGTCGTCTTTTGCTTCGCGTATAACTAGCGCCAGACTTCTGTCGTCTAGGCATTGTACCAACTCCGCGAAAGCATCTCCGTTCCTCGACTCATCGGGTTCTTTATCACCTGGCACAAATATATCGTGTAATTTTTGTAGCCTCATCTGCGCCAGAAACTTTACTTCCCATAGTTCATATTTACTTTCATCGCCGTTAAATAGTTGTCCCCTTCTGGGCCCATAACCTGTTGGGTTTGTGGCGGTTGCCATTCTTTATTATATTCAATTTGAGCACATAAGTTTCTTATAGCTTTATTTTACACGACAGACAGAATACAGCTCACGCTTTTACATAAGTTACGCTTTACGGTGATTGGTCAGATATTTACCAAATATAGTCATGAGTCTCTTGCTCTTTATCTATATGTAACTTAATATATCAATTACTAATAACATTACAACTAACAATTGTTTCTACTTTAATAACATAAATTACGTAATACATAAGAGCACAACTTAACATAGAAGGGCAACTCGCGTGTACAACGCGTAACCAATTTCAGTGCGCACGCGCGGAATCTTTCAAGCTCGCAGGCCGCAACCAGTAAAGCCAGTCAGTGCAATAGGGATTTGTATTACGAAATGTACATTTTGATCACAAAATCGACTATTTTTCGGAAACAAACTGATGATTCCTAGCATTTAATATTTCTGTGATTTCCAAAGTGAAGTGTCACAAACCAAAGTGACTGAACCGTTCAAATGAATGCGAAGTTCCATTAAAATGCAATGAAATTTCTTTCAAGGTTCTATTTGTTTGAAATTGGCAGTTTAAAATGGCACTAAAAACCCAATTCTAAATATAAAAAACTTACGTGTCTTGCACTATTTTGTCGGGCGGTTCATTTTTATTGTATAGCAAAATATAAAAAAATTTCACGCGTCTCTTAAAATACAGTCGGGCGGTGATGAGAATCAAGGAATTTATTTTATGTGGCCTTAGCAATTCTTTAACAGCTCATAACCAACAGAAATGTATTCACTAACCTTCAAATTACAACCAACGGTCGCGGTTTGTAATTTGAATCGTTCGTTTGCGAAAAATAGTCAATTTATTCAGTCAAATGACCATTCTGCAATACAAATCTCTAATAAATCGACTGACTTTACTGGCTGCGAGTAATTAGAGCGGGCAATTTCCGGTATGCGCGAAGCGACATGCGCGGCTTCAAAAACTTCAAAGGTTCCGACTCAAGTTGCCCTTCTATCCATTTCTTATTCTATGACTCAGTTCCGAAATATCGCATACTCGAACCGATCTGAACGCGTAGCTCAGTTGGCAGAGCATTGGGCTAGTATTCCAAAGGTCGTAGGTTCGATTCCCACCGTGGCCAGGCATATTTTTCAAGCCTGCCCGGTGTGGATATACACTCAGAGTAACATCACACAAGTATAATATCTTTTCTGTCGTAGTAAACTAATATAGAAATGCAAATATACCCCCACAGTTACCAGTAACGACATCTGAGCTTGGGATGTCTCAATCTCGTTCCCCGAGCCTGCGACCCTCGGGGAGGAACGCGAGGCTCTGGGATAATCCATTTCAGGGAGTAATCTGATTGGCCGTTGATATGGAATGCGCATTTCGGTCTTAGCCAGGTTAGTGGAGGACCTGTATATGAGTTTGTATGCATTTCATTTAGGACAGATAATCCCAACTGTTTTAGGGCAAGTTGACCATGACGGTCAACATGGTAACGCTGCCCGAACCCCAATCCGGGACGAAACGTCCGAAACTAACCACACCCAAAAACGACGCTTTCGCCATACTGCTATCTACCAAACCATAAAAGCTTTGGCTATTCTGAGGTGCTTATATGGTTCAGAGATGGTACTTTTGGGGGTGATCATTGGTAAGTGTGAAATGCCTAGCGCTAATATTTCACAAGAAAATGACCATGCAATAATCATAGTTAAACGTCAATTTGTGGCTTGCAACTTCAGATAAACAGCAGTGGACTTACATTACCTTTTTCCCTAAATCTTTTTGATAGAAACATAATTGGTACTTATCGAAATATATTATCACTGGTTTGGTGTAAAATAGTTAATATTTTCTGACCGAAATAATAAATTGAAATGTGCCTACCTCCTGCAAATGAACGTATTTGGCCAAGTTTTCTCCACTTTACTCCGCTGTTTATCGGCGATCTCGTCGACATCCTACAAAAAATGTAAATCATCTCAGACATAATCGTATCAAGAACATTTTAAACAAGTTTCAACTTGGTTTCAAGTAGATCATACCTGTTTAACCATCGACAATGTAAATCCACAACTTTGTCCAAATTCGGCGCCATTTTGTCATCCCATGTCGGTTGTCAACAATTCGGCCTTGTTACTCTTCCATCCAAGCCATTTCCATTCCACTAATAATAAATTTAACCCTTTATAACGGTAGGAAACTAAAAAATCTAAACAAATTATAAGAAATGCGCCATTTTATCACCCTGTAAAATTGAAAACAAAACATTCCGTACAAATATCGCGTGACAAAGTAACAGGGACGTGACAGGAGGGGGTGTATATACAAATTATTATTTATTAATATGAAAAAGTCATACAAATTAAATGTTGATTGTTGGATACTGTGTCAAAGAGTAAAGATATAAAGAGGGTTCACTCGGTGAAAAATGCAGTGTTTAGGACGTCACACGGTTTGCGAAGCTGACGTCATTTACACGCCATCAAAAGCAAATTAAGAGCGACTGTCCGTAAAAATCGAGCAAAATTTGAATTCTGCGGCAATACACGAAAAATAGATTTCGTTCATATTTTGCTCAAATTAAGGTAATACCTAGTTATAAATGGTGTTTGGGTTAGATTTTCAATATTTGGTCGATAAACGTACAAATATCAGAAATCAAGAATTTGTCTCCAGGAGGCTATAATTAGCCGCAGACAAAGCTGCTGCCATGGTCAGTTTCATCACTTCGCGACGGATTCAAAACTGCCCGTAGATAGTTTTGATGGTATAATGACTATAATTCAAGTATTAAAGAACAATTTTATCAATATGGAATGGCCCAGGAGGCTTTAGCTGGCCTGACAGAATTGCATTTTGTCACTGGATTTGAAGGGGAAATTTACTATGTGCGATAATCGTGAATTTGTTTATATTTCATCCACGGAATGGTATAGCATGAGTACATGTTATATATAAAAACTAGCTTGGGTTATTGCCTTGGAGCCTCACGCGAGACTTTTAAAAAAGCTCATTTTGGTGATTTTCAGTGGAATGTAACACAATTAAATCATTAGGCCCATACCTCTATACCAGAGTCACGAAGCTCAAATTGTTCAAAACTTTGAATTTTGTGTTTCGATATCAATGTATATGCTTTGTATACTTTATAAAGAGTCGTTTAGAAATATTTTCAATATATTTTAGTGATAGGCCTACTTACAACAAAAGCACAACAAATCATCATATCATTAATTACTAGACTGCTATTTAGCCTATAGCAATTCGCGTGTTGTTACTGAATGCATTTATATTTAATATGTCTGCAGTCTGTAAGCTTTTGAAGTCTTATAATTTCTCATTTTTGTTTAATGCTTTCTCTGCATATGTAAACTAATAGAATTAAAGCTAGGTAAATACAATAGAAGTACATAAGTTGAAAGGTTAATTTACTATGTGCGATAATCGTGAATTTTTTTATATTTCGTCCACGGAATGCTATAGCATGGATACATGTCGTATATAAAAACTGGCAGCCTAGACCTAGGCCTTCTAGTCTTATTTATATTTTTTAGTATTCAGCGGTTTTTCACATGAAAAGACTGGGACTAGGTGATTTGGGGGCGGGGCGGAGGAAGCAATCCTAGAAGGCCTAGTTGATTTCCCAACAACAAGGCCAAAACTGCCCTGAAACTGCCCTGGTTGCGAAATGCCCAATTATTGCGTTCTCAAACAGAATTATTTGCAACTTAACGGCGAATTTAAACCGATACAGGTAAAATAAACTCATTTATAGTATAAACTTACTTTTTTATTTGTATACACGTCTAGAAAATCGGTTTTTTATCATAAAGTTCGAAGCAACACTATTATTTAATATGTTGACAAGGTGTAGCGAAAGAACAAAATGAGTCAAAATATATACCAAAAGTAGAATCTTTCATGAAATTTTGTCTTATACACAAGTACATTAATATATATTTTCTCAATTTTGGCAAGAAGCAGTCTTGTGTTTGTAAAATATACAAAATAAAACGGATACATATATTATTAGCCCGTACAGTACTGTATATAAAAACGTACATTGTTTATACAAATGGTATATCTGTAATATTTGAACACTAATTTCAAATTCCTCATTCCCAATTCGCAAATATAGTTATTCAAAGCAAAACAGTAGATTGTCTTGCGAATAAAAGAATTATTATTTTGTGCCGTTTCGCTACACCTTGTCAACATATATAAATAGTGTTGTTTCAAACTTTATGATAAAAAACCCGATTTTCTAGACGTGTATACAAATAAAAATAGTAAGGTTATACTATGAATGAGTTTATTTTACCTGTATCGGTTTAAATTCGCTGTTAAGTTGCAAATAATTCTGTTTGAGAACGCAACAATTGGGCATTTCGCAATCAGGGCAGTTTCAGGCAGTTTTGGCCTTGTTGTTGGGAAATCCACTAGGCCTTCTATATTTTCGCTTGCGTCAGGCTTGTGTCCTTCCTCCGCCCCGCCCCCAAATTACCTAGTCCCAGTCTTTTTATGTAAAAAAGCGCTGAATATTAAAAAAATATAAATAAAAATAGAAGGCCTAGGTCTAGGCTGAAAAACTGGCTTGTTTTATTGCCGTGGGGCCTCACGCGAGACTTTTAAAAAAGCTTATTTTGCGGTAGTTCAGCCGACAGTCAGGTAGTCTGTTTCAGACCATGTTACGATATAAAAGTCTATAAAATAATATAAAAACAAGTTGACATGCAAAGATGAGTTTAGTTCTTAGGCCCGTTTCATACGCCGTACTTCACATGTGCCGAATAGGCTACATTAAAAACAATAGACAATGAGGCATTTCAGCTCATTACCTATTGTCTTTAATGTATTCGGCACATGTGAAGTACGGCGTATGAAACGGGCCTTAGATTATTTACAAAGCAAATCTATATACCTATGAATATATAAATAATTTTAAAATGTTTGTTAGTGGAATCTGGGAAATAAAATCAATGCCAATGTTGAGCGCTTTACAATGAAAAACTATAGCTGTCAACTGAATAACAACTGTATAAAATTTATAGCTGCCTCACTGCTCGTATATATATATATATAAAATAGAATATGACTGTCTATAAACAACAAGCAGTGTTATTTTTAAGTTTACGTTTTATATTGATGGGGGATTAAGTAAAAACAAAAAAGTAAACTACAATATTGAAACAGTAGCTAAGGGACCGTTCATTATTTATACCTGGGGTTGGTACCGAAGAGAAGCGAGAAACACTGTAAATCTTTCATTTACCCAACCTCAACAATGGTCAAAATAATGTTTACCCAACCCATGTGTTGCTGTACTTCATAATAATTAAACACACAAGATTATGGTTACAGAAATGAAGTTGCTTAAATTCTAAAAGCTCGTAAACTCACTGAGTGTGCCAAAGCAATCACGTTTCTGCTGATCAATGATGGAGTCCTTGCTGATCAATGATGGAGTCCTTCCTCAATCACTGATGGTCTATTTTTGTTCAGAACGTATTGTACACATTTTTTCTTTATATTTTCCAATGCATGGTAATTTTTTTATCCAACCCATCAGCTAGTCAAAAACCTGATTACCCAACCCATATCTCTTCGGTACCAACCCCTGGTATAAATAATGAACTGTCCCTAAAGCAGATCCTTTGTAAATGATGTTCTACACTGCGTGGAAATGAACGTAATCTTGATTGATTGATTGATTCTTTAATTTTCTGTAGAGGTTTTGTTTTGCTCAAAAATACAGCTTCAATGATGAAGAATGACTGTAACAGTTTATTTATATTCAATTTATCTCGCTTTTTAAAAATATTTTGACGTTGTGACGTCACCGTGAGATCGTGTCAAGAAAGTCTGATATCTTTGATGATAACTTAATAAAATTTAGTCAAACTTGGCATGTTTACACTGTAATGGGTG